CATAGCCATATGTATACATACCAGTTGGGAGTGAAGGCAGAAAGCCACGATCTACATGAAAAACACAAGCAGCAGATATAGTCCTTTCACGTAAAAGTAACACCGTCCCCAATAAGAAGTCCGAAATAAAATTTCTTCAAGATTCTCCTGGGGCATTGGGGAGGACCAGGGGCCATGTCATGCCATTAGATTTTAAGCAGAATTCCCCCTAGGAATTTCACTGGGGGGGAACTTCTGCTTAAAAACAGATGGACTAATGCACTTTGGAGAAGGCAGAATGCCATTAAGGCTTCCCTTCCTCTTCTCTCCCCCCCCACCCGAAAAGCTTCAGTTCAAAAACATAAGGAAGAAACGAATTTCTCCACTATAACAAATAAGGGCTTTGAACTCTTGAAATAACACGTCCACACTACAAATCCCCATCGAAATGGCGCAGCCGCACTGATTAGAGCCTGACTCACATTTAAGCCCCAGAAATGGCGCAGCCGCACTGATTGGAGCCTGACTCACATTTAAGCCCCGCCCACCGCCTCCCAAAACACTCCAGGCAGGGCATCAGGACAGCAGTCCTTTCCTGTAGCTGCTACCTGAGTGATCTGAGGCATGTGCTTAAAGGGGTTCTCCGCTACAGCCAGGCCTCAGACCCTTCTCCATTGCCTACTTCCTTGAGGGACAGCAGACACCACACTGCATGCTCTGGTTGTCCTTGCGGCCACCACAGCACTTCCACTATGGAGCTGGACCTGCTTCAAAACAGTCATTGGCTCTTAGACCTCCTGCAACTCCTGGCACCGTTTATGCAGACTGCCCTCGTGACACTGCTTGAGGACAACGACCAGCCTGGAATGGGGGACCTCCTTACCCAGGCCTGGGCACTTCTCATGTACTACTGTCCCCCCTCCTCCCACCCTGCACACTGTGCACCGCCACTTCTGGTGACAGGAGACCAGTTCTAACTGGTGGGACCGGATCGTCATGGAGCGGTGGGATGACCAGCAGTGGCTCGAGCACTTCCGCATGTGGAAGGATACCTTAATGGAGCTCTGTGAGTGGCTCGATCCTGCTCTTCGGCGACGAGACACCCCCATGTGACCCGCCATCCCCCTCCAAGAGCAGGTCGTCATCACAGTTTGGAAGCTCGCCATGCCAGACATCTCTGTTGGGAACCAGTTCGGCGTGGGGAGGTCAACCGTTGGGGCCATGCTCATGCAGATTTGACTCTTCTGTTGTTCTCAGGAGGGTGGAGAAGCACTGCAATGGGTTCCCTAAGGACGGGGTGGTAGTGGAATCTCCCTCCCTGGAGGTTTTTCAGTCCCACCCTCATAAAGCCCTGCTAGGGAAGGAGGTACTTGGGTTTGCTCCTACTGTGGGGAGGGCCTTGAGCTCAGGGAACTCCCAAGGGCTCTGGCAATCTTGTGAGTCTATGATTTTTATCACTGTACAGGTGGTGAGGGCCATCAACACCAGGGTCGTCACCCTAAGCGACGTGGACCCCATCATCACCGGTTTGCTGCCATGGGCTTCCCCAACTGCAGGGGGCCGCTGATGGCACCCACATCCCCATAGAGGCCCCCGACCACCTGGACTCTGATTACATCAGTTGGAAGTGTACTTTTCCATGGTCCTGCAGACCCTCGTGGACCACTGGGACCGCTTCACGGATGTTAACGTCATGTGGTTGGGGAAGGCGCACAATGCCAGTGTCTTTAGTAACTCTAGCCTTCTCCAGAGGATGCACCAGCCGTACCATCAGGGTAGGGGATGTGGACATGCCTATGGGCCTCATGGGCAATGCAGCCTACCTCTTTCTCCCCTGGCTTATGAAGTCCTTCACAGAACACTTAGAAACTGAGGGGGTGCCACATCAGGGTGGAGGGCGCCTTCGGCCCTCTCAAAAGGAGGTTCCAGTGTCTCCTCACCTGCCTGGACCTCAGTGACCAGAACATCCCCCAGGTGGTGGTGGCCTGCTGTGACCTCCACAACCTTTGCAAAAATAAGGGGAGACTTTCCTGCCAGGGTTGGGGGCAGAGGCCAAGCAGCTTGCAAGGGCTTTTGAGCAGCTGCATACCGCTGTCATCCAGCAAGCCCATCAGGGGGCTGTGTGCATCCAGGAGGCCCTTAGGGAGAGTTTCAGCTAAGGCCAGCTTTGACACTCTCCCCTGGACCTTCCCCTGGCTTCCCTACAAGGGGCCTCTGCATAGCCCCTGTGTGCCTCTTCCCTTCCCCCCTCCTCTCCTGCAGACCAAATAAACCAGAGTTTTTTTGTTTAAAACTTTTTTTAAAATGTGGGGAATCTAACTGGGGAGGGACTAGAGAAAACCTGAGAGGAGGGGCTCAGGGATAGGGCTGGGAGTGGTGCCTGTCTTGGGTGGTCTCACTGCCTCATGGGTGGGGGGCTCAGCCTGGGGGGGGGCTAGGAGGAGAACCCAGAGTGGGTGCAGGGGAGGGGGGGAGCTGCTGGACCACTCCCTGATGTCAACCATGCACTTGACGGCGTTGGTGTAAGCTGCGCACGTGCTCTCCTGCTGCCAGGACAGCTGCTTCCAGATGGTGCCGCACAGCTTCCAGTCAGCTCCTGGTGGTTCTTCTCAAAGTTTCTCTTGAGGGAATGGAGGCACTCCAGGAGTTCCCTTACCAGATCATCCTGGGGTCGCCTCTGCTAGCAGGTCTTGCAGGGTCAGGAAGATGGCGGTGGGGAGGGGTGATCAGTGTCCTCCACATTGCTGCACTTGACCCAAAGTATGCAGGCAAGAGTGACTCCAAGAGTGCAGGCATGACCCTGTGCTGTGTGATGCACTGCTCTGTGTTTCCCTGACCTCAGCCTCCTTAGTGGTGGCTTGTTATGGGAAGGTGTCCCACCACAGAGTCTAGAATAAGGCAGGCCTGTCTAGGAACCTTGTGAGAAGGAGCAACAGGTTCCTGTGTGGCAGCTTCATGGGGCTGTCTGCTCCAGACTGGTGTTCCATGTGCACCCACTTGCACAGGCTGCTGTGCAGTTCCTCCAGAGTTTTGAGGAGTGTGGACAGAGTGACCACCAGGGCAGCTCTGAGAAGCCCTGGTGGCCAATTATTTCAAAATAAGCACAGCTGCGCTGTCCACAGTTGCCCTATTTTGAAATAGTAAACCCTCATTTCATGAGGAATAATGCCTATTTTGGAATAAGAAGCCTGTTATTTTGAAATAATTTCAAAATAACAGGCTTGCTGTGTAGATGCTCACATTATTTCAAAATAACTTTGTAGTGTAGACATACCCTGGACATAGGCTTTTACTCCAACAGAAGTTAATGGTATTTTTTTCTGAATAAATATGTAAGGATTTAATTTAATGAAAAATTAAGCCTAGAGTTAGAGGAGAGAGAGAGCCTGAGTGGTGCTTTGCCGATTCTGTCATATAGGAAATTTTAAAGTTTTATGCTTGAGGCTGGCCGCAGAGGAAGCAGCTTCTACCTTCATTAGACACAACGGAGCTGTTGATGGTGGGTGGTCTAGTTAATTTAGACTTCCTACACTGGATTACTCAGTTGTGTTCCTTGCTGCAAGGATTCCTGTTGTGGCAGATATTATACCAATTCGGAGAGACTTGCCTGCTCTTGTGATGTCAGAACAGAGTGCAGAAAATTTGTATCTGCAGCCACAAAAATGATCCATGGATATCCAAACATTTGCAGGGTTTTAGATACAACACTAGTATGTTCATCCTTATTGGCAAAAATGAGCTACAGATATCTGTGGATTTGGATACCGGCAGATATAAAACATTATCCACAGACTTGTAGGGCTCTATTAATGGGACAAGTGCAATTGCATCTTGAATTCCAATTAATTTCACTCTCTGAGGCTCTGGTCTTGGGAGTGCCTGGGACTGTTCCCATTGACTATGACAGCACCAGGGTTTCACCTATTAACTTTAATGGAACTTACGATGATTTATAGCAGCTAAGACTCTGGCCCCATCACTTAGACTGTGTCTGCACTACAAAATTAAATCAACCTAACTTCAGTTGGCATACAGCCACTGCAGTAAGGGTGTTGCTTGTGCATGTCTACGCTTTGCTCCTTGTGCTGATGGTGTGTGTCGTCACCAGGAGTGTTTGTATTGATTGTACTGTCAGCAGCACGGGGCATTGTGGGAAGGCTCCTGAAAGCCAGTAATGGTAGACAAAAGCAACACAGCGTCGAACCTTGCCACTGCATTGAGCTAACTACATCGACTTTATGCTGCTTGAGGAGATGGAATTACTAAATCGGTATAGCGGGGCAGTTATGTCCGTTGGAGTAAAATTAAGTGTAGACACTTCCATAGTTAGGTTGACGTAAACTGCCTTGCATTGAACTAACTCTGTAGTGCCTCGGCGGTCACTCGATAATGAGTAGGACATCTTCTTGTCACCCTCCTATTTGTGGATCCATTGATGGCTGACCAGGCCAATTCTGGAGCCGCAGGTCTTATCGTGGAAGGGGCAGGTGCACATGGCTATTGGAGGGATGCAGGGCAGTTTTTGCTGCTCTTTTCTCCTTCACCTCACCTCGTCTGCGCTGTGGCAGGACTTCTCAAATTGTGCCACCCTCTCATGGATTACCGCTCTCCACTGGGGACGGTTGTGGGCAAGGTTCTCCAAAGTGTCAACACCAATGCTGCCCTTTTTCATATTTGCCTTCAAAATGTCCTTATTTCACTTCCTCTGGCTCCCAATGCTCCTCCGTCCTTCCTTCAGCCTGGAAAACAGAATCTGTTTTGGAAGGTGCTGATCAGGCATCTGGACCACGTGACCAGTCCAGTGAAGTTGTTGGAAGATGATGATAGCTTCAATGCTGGTCATGTTCAACTCTTCCAGGACACTAGTGCTCGTGCGCCTGTCCTCCCAAGGGATATTTAGGATTCATTATATAGTTCAAGTGCCTTCAGGTGACTCTTATATGTTGTCCAGGTCTGTAGTGTAGACCATACCTGAAACTCTCACTAATTATTGATTTGTTTCCATTCTTTCTTTTCCTAAGGGAGGGTTACTGAGAAGATTGTAAGCAAAGCAGTTCTGGAGGTACCAGGAACCCATGGATTTCCTTTGATTTTGTTTGGCTGTGGTAAAACAATAACAACTGCATGTGAAACTAATTTTCTCCTTAGAAATAAACCTTCCACAAGTTTCCCCATCTCACACTTCCTTGCTTATATCACCATCATCCTTCAATGCAGCTCTCATCCATATTAAACAGATTTGCTAATCTCCAACTCTTCCAACTAGATTCCATCTCAATTAACACAACCGTCTTGTTGGCCAGTCATATTTTGTTTTTCCACAGCATCTGTTGTCACTGTACTCTCTCTGACACATATGCACGTGAGACCTTTGGTAATCAACATGTGGCCTGTTCGTGCTCCCCTCAAAGTCAGTGGCGGAACACCCGCTCAGTAAAGTCAGAGCAAGACTGGAGCAATTGAATCTAAAGGAGCCATATCAGTTTAAAAGCCCCACACTGGGGCTTTACTAGCGATGGAGCTGTATTGATGAGCATAGATGGGATTCTGTTGCCCAGGCTTCCCCCAAGGAAAAGGGCATCCAAGAAAATCACTTAATAGAAGAACAGACATACAGACCAAAGGTCCATCTAGCCCACTATCCTGCCTTCTGACAGTGACCAATGCCAAGTGCCCCACAGGTAATCATCAAATGATCCATCCCCCTGTTGCCCATTCCCAGCTTCTGGCAAACAGAGGCTAAGGACATCATCCCTGCCAATCCTGGCTAATAAGCATAGATGGACCTGTTCTTCATGAATTTATCTAGTGTTTTTTTTTAACCCTGTTATAGTCTTGGACTTCACAACATTCTCTGGCAAGAAGTTCCACAGGCTGACAGTGCTGTGTGGAAAAAGACTTTTTTGTTTATTTAAAACCTGCTGCCTATTTTCATTTGGTGACCCCTACTTATGGGAAGGAGTAAATAACTTTTTCTTTTCCACTTTCTCTGCACCACTCATGATTGTATAGACTATCCTATCCCCTCTTACTCATTTTTTTTCCAAGCTGAAAAGTCCCAGTCTTATTAATCTCTCCACTTATGGCAGTCCTTCCATACCCCCAATTATTTTTGTTGCCTTTTTCTGAACCTTTTCGAATTACAATATATCTTATTTTTGTAGATGAGATTACCATATTTGCACACAGTATTCAAGATGGGGGAGTGCCATGATGGATTTATAAAGAGGCAATAAGATATTTTCTTTCTTAATGAAGCCTTGCAATCTGTTTGCTTTTTTGACTGCCGTTGCACATGAGTGGATATTTTCAGAGAACTATCCACAATGACTCCAAGATCTATTTTAAATGCTAACAGCTAATTTAGACCCCATCATTTTATATGTATAGGTGGGATTATGTTTTCCAATGTGCATTACTTTGCATTTATTAACATCAAATTTCATCTGTCCTTTTGTTGCCCAATCACCCAGTTTCGTGAGTTATGTATAGCTTTGTAAATAGTTCAGCTCTTACCGATATCTATCAAAATAACGTTTTCCTTTTTACCAGCTTTAAAGATCAGCCTACCCAAAAAAGGGGGGGGGGAGACAAAGGGAGATAGACATTGCCAGACTGAATCAGAAGTGAGGTCCATCTTCTCCTATATCCCATCTCCCACATTAACTGGTACCAGATTTTTCTTATAGGCTTATCTTGCTCCAATATCTTTACCTTTGTGAGCTGGTCCTACTCCTTTCTCTCAAGTGTAACCACACTGGAGTTAAAGGAGTTAATCATGTAAAGGCGTCATGATTGAGCCCTTAATTATGCAGGATTAGCAGTAAACAGGAATAGCTGATGCTCTGCCATACCATTTTTCCCAAGGAAAACTTAATCCAGGAAACTATCAGATGCAACAATCTTTGGGATGCAAAGCATACAAATCTACTTATCAATTTACTGTGAGTGAGACCCTAAACTAGTGACAGCAAAGAGGCAAATTTCCACTCCATGCATCTGACAATTATTTTTACCCACAGAGCTTATGCCCAAATAAATGTTAGTCTTTAAGGTGCTACAGGACCCCTTATTTTTTATAGATACAGACCAACATGGCTACCCCTCTGAGACTTGTTTAGCTTTATTTAGCAATGCTGGGAATTTCTAGGGGATGTAGCAGTTAATCAGACAAGAACTTAGATGCGTCCTTCAATTTATAAAGTATTTGAGATCCTATAACTAGCTCATCTGAGGAAGTTGGTTTTGTCCACTAAAGTTCACCATGCTATCTATATATTTTTTGTTAGTCTCTAAGGTGCCACAGGACCACTTGTTGGTTTTTAAAGTTACAGACTAACACGGCTACCCCCTATGGCTTTTTGCATTTTATTGAGAGGGGAGCTGACTTGAGTGGCAAAGTTGAGATCCAAAGAAGGTAGTCTTTACTGCGGGGGCAGGCCAAGTTTGGCTTCTTTGGGAATCATAGAACTGGAAGAGACCTCAGAACGACATCAAGTCCAGCCCCCTGCTCTAGGCAGGACCAATTCCAACTAAATCAACCCAGCCAGGGCTTTGTCAAGCCGAGACTTAAACACCTCTAGGGATGGAGACTCCACCACTTCCCTAGGTAACCCATTCCAGTGCTTCACCACCCTCCTAGGGAAATAGTTTTTCCTAATATCCAATCTGGCCCTCTCCCACCACAACTTGAGACCATTGCTCCTTGTTCTGCCATCTGTCACTACTGAGAACAGCCTCTCTCCATCCTCTTTGGAACCTCCCTTCAGGAAGTTGAAGGCTGCTATCAAATCCCCCCTCACTCTTCGCTTCTGCAGACTAAACAGACCCAAGTAACTCAGCCTCTCCTCATAAGTCATATGCTCCAGCCCCCTAATCATTTTGGTTGCCCTCCGCTGGACCCTCTCCAATGCGTCCACATCCTTTTTGTAGTGGGGGGCCCAGAACTGGACACAATACTCCAGATGTGGCCTCACCAAAGCCAAATAAAGGGGAATGACGACATCTCTGGATCTGCTGGCAATGCTCCTCTTAATGCAACCTAATATGCCATTAGCCTTCTTGGCTATAAGGGCACACTGTAGACTCATATCTAGCTTCTTATCCACTGTAACCCCCAGGTCCTTTTCTGCAGAACTACTACTTAACCGGTTGGTCCCCAGCTTGTAACTATGCTTGGGATTCTTCTGTCCCAAGTGCAGGACTCTACACTTGTCCTTGTTGAACCTCATCAGATTTTTTGTGGCCCAGTCCTCCAATTGGTCTAAGTCATTCTGTACCCTATCTCTGCCCTTAAGCGTATCTACCTCTCCCCCCAGCTTAGTGTCATCCGCAAACTTGGATGAGGGACCTGAGTTGAGGTCTGGCTCCAACTTTCCCCCAAGGTAGGCAGCACCATAACTAGTTTGCATCTGAGGCAAAATATTTAATTATGTATCCCCTCTCCTTAGGTTAGTAGGAGCCCTGCTCTTTACTTCTGCAGGTTATTATTTTTAGGTCTTTGTGCCCCTGATTATGATGTGCCCTGGAGTCAGCACCCCCCCTTGTCCGCCCCGCTTGTAGGTGGAGGATCTGGTCCAGGGCTTTGGATCACCCCTCTCCAATTCTTCTGATGAAGTGGGTTTTACCCGGAAAGCTCATCCTTCTCTGTATTTTGGTGAGTCTCCCAGGTGCAAGGGGCCCCCATGCCTTGCCTTTGGATCAGTGAGTCCTGGACACCGGCTGAGAGGAGAAGCGCGTGGGCTCCTCCTCCTGCGGGCCCGGGGGTCAACATGATGTCAGGGCGCAGGAAAGCACCAGAGCCCCCGGCGGGGCGTCTCGGGACAGGAAGGCGAGCGCGTTAGGACCTGGAGGGAGCATGGCTCCCCCCCCTTCCTCCGGGCTGCTGCGAGGGAAGCGCCAAGGGCGAGGAAACGTGGCTGGGGACGCGGGGGGGGGGGGGGGGGGCCCGCGCCGGGGG